CAACCCACACGTACAAGAGTCAGACGAATGCCAAAGCCACTGCCGAACATCAGGCAATCACACAAACAAAGTTGTACACTTTTAGTGTATACATTAGTTGTGATTAAAACCTTTTGTGCGATACTTATTTGAATTGATTCATTATTTCATAGTATCTACAGTCTGTTCATTCAATTTTTAATTTTTGTAGCCTTTAGAAGCTCCAAAATTAGCTGACTAGTTCAACACCTTGTTGATGTAACCACTTGACTTTTAGCTGTCTCTATTAGATTTCGCTGGATCTTGTACTATGGGGCTGGATTTAGGACCATGCTCAGGCCCATTCGCCCCGTTCTCTTCAGAATACATGTATCCAGCTTCACTTACTGCCTTCTTCCACCCAATGAGAAGTCTCGGGACACCACACTGGTGATAATGGATAGCGAGCCGAGCACATACCGTTCGCTGCATGCATTTAAGGTGTGCAGGAGGGGCATTTACCCCGGTGTACGAAGAATCCTTGATTCACTCACAACGAAAGGGTCGAGACTGACGTCTGTATTTGACTTCACCTTATTCTTTGTTTCACAGACAAGCCATCTGGAGAAGTTTCGTGTCGGAATTCTCCATACAAAATCCGTGTCTAGGTGTCGGAAATGACACTACAGTTCTTCTCGCATACGTAACAGTGGCTCATCCGATTTTCTCTGTAACATATCTGTTTTAGAACAGAGTTCCGCCATCTAGTCCTGGGAGCAATCGATGGTCAACAGGTGTGTGCGTCCCCGAATCAGATTCTCAGACCCAACGTAACTCAAAATGCAGTTGAAGCTGCCGAGGTGACGAAGTACGGTTGTTCAGCCTCATGCTATCTGTCGACTGTTGCGGTTGGCTCGTGGGCGCTAGGGCAAGAATTGTACCAAGTAGATCGCCTATGGCGTTGTTCAAAAAGAGAGTGCCAATGTAGTGCTTCGTGTTTGTGACCACCTGATATTTGGCGGTCACTGTAGGCTGACCTTCGAGCCCCGCTCAAGCTCAGTTGCTTCGTTTTCTTAGAAATACACGTCCGCAACTTAACTTACTACGTCCTTACACCCAACAGGAAGTCCAGAGATGCCATAGCCAGTCCTGGTGTTTTAAAATTTTGATGGATTATATGTCGGGATTCTCTGCGTATTTAACACACCTTTACAGCAACAAAAACCAATCTATGTGTTTGCTTCTGTAGCGTTCCGGGACCACCTGGTCGGTATGAGAAGTCAGCAAGTGCAGCTGGATACATGCATTCTGAAGACGATGGAGCAAATGAGTCTGAGCATGGTCCGAAGACCAGCTTACGTGTACAAGGTCTAGGCAAATCCTAAAGTAACCGCCTAAAATCATGTGGTCACATAAACAAAGTTTTACAGTTTCGGAACTATGTGCTGAAAGTCTCTAGCTTAGAAAAAATATTTCTGTCAAAATTCACCGATGCTTTTAATGCATCATTTTTAACAAAGCATAATTTTAGGTTTTTTAAAGCTTAAATCAATCTCATATATAAAGTTGTTGCAAAGTTTTTGAATAAGGGCTCTTTTTGAGTACAGTTGGTTGATTAATTTAGAGTACTCCGTTTGCTGCGTTAATTTATTTTAAGTATTTCGTTTATATGTGTGCTCAGCTGTAAGATGCGCATTTTGTTCAAATCGTGATATTTGGCTATTTTGCCTTGATTTTCCTTTTTTCCTTGAAGAGCCTGGAAACAGCCTTTTAAAGTTGTTTTGGAGTATGTCCTTTTCAAAATCTCAAATAATTGAGCTACCTTCTACCGTCAAAGCCGGTGCTGTGGCGGAGAAGCTCAATGGGGTCACAACAAAGCCTTTACACATGCGTGACATCGAAATGGTTCGCTTAATTGGACAGTATCTTTGTGACAAAGGATACAAGTATCAAGTTTCTTATGTCATTTTGAAACTGTTTAGTAATGCGTACAAGCAGTTAGCGAAAGATTCAGGCATCGTTCTTGAACCACAGCCGGCTACCGATCTCAGGGCGGCTATACTATCGGGCGACTGGAATGCTGTATAGCTACACTATGAATTTATGCACTATTCCATGTGTCTTAAAGCTGGCACTACTTTTATTTTAGACCGAAAAGGCTGTCGAGGAATTGGCTCCCACCATAGACAATTCATCGAATCTGGCACATATTCGGTTTCTTTTACTGGAGCAGCAGTTTCTTGAGTTTCTTGAGGCTGAGGAGGTCGTTTCTGCTCTCTCTCTCCTTCGATATCGTATAACTCCTCTTAAACCCGACCAAAAGCGTCTTCAAAACTTGGCTCAGTGGGTTTTATGCTAAACTGTTTAGACACTTCTTTTTTATCGACGTCGTTTTTAGATGCCTTATGTGTCGAACAGCAGAAGAATTGCGGGCTCAAGCTGGTGGCTGGAGCGGAACAAATGGTGGGAGTCGATCTGCTCTTGTAGACTGTATTCAACGTTTCATGCCAGCACAAACAATGCTTCCTCCGGGAAGACTGGAAACTCTAATCACCGAGGCTATTAGGTCCCAACTCACAAGTTGCACTTTTCATACGCAGCCCATTTGTTGGCCCGATGCTTTGGCGTCCATGTCACTACTACAACCGCACGCCTGCAGCATGTATGTTTGTGTTTACATTCTACCTTGCTATTATTTTTAAAAAGGTAAATAATGTTAGAGAATATCAGCGGTAGATTAATAACAAACAGCTCTAGTTCCGTTTTTACATCGTGACCGATATCGTTTTGTTTCCTCACCATCTCTATTAGCCCCTCAGAGTATTTCATTTGCAGCTGATTCCTGTCTTCAAGAATGAAGTGTGTGCTAGCTACTGGTATGATGTGAATGTGTTCATTACTAATCCGTTTCATAAGGCTAGTATTTGTATTCGGCTAAATTTGTGGCACTACATGGCTGGAATGCTTCTGTTTACACAAATTGTCAGTGTTTTATCTCCCAGAAACGTTTTATGGTATCATTTAAGGACAGAGCAGATGTAACTAATCTTTGCCTGTGTAAGAATGCAGTTGCTGTGGGAGTGCGGCGAAAACTCATCTCTAGCTTAGATTATTGTTGTTATGACTGCTACAAATTTTTGTACTTACGGGAAGGTGATTTTAAAGAACTAGGAGCAACTGTCTCTCGGGCTAAGACCCCTTAATTATGAAAGGGCGGGTAAATTGTAATGAATTTGCGATAGGGAGTTTAGATGAAAAAATCGATGTGGATAATGTATTTGATTGGCAGCAAATTCATTCGCCTCACTGAATTTGTGCTCGAACATATGATGCAATCAATGATCTCTAAATCCGTACAAAAATAGCAAATAAAAGGGAATAGATATCCACGAACTCGGGGGCAATTAAATTTTTTTTTTAGTCAGGACTTTCCTGTGTTCACTGTTCAGAAGATTGAGCATCGGGAGAGCGAGCTCTACTTCTGTGTTTTCTCTCCTGATGGCAATTACTTGGCCACCGGTGGTAAGGATGCCAACGTGGACGTTTGGAAGGTCGACTCAGAATCACACACAATCCATTCTCCACGAACCATTTACACCATAGAGGCATCTATAAATCATATTTGCTGGTCACCGGACTCAAAAAAGTAAGCCATAATCCACCCGTAGGTATACTTTATTTTCTGTAGCGTTTTAAATTGTTTCCTCAAATAACTAGTTTCGGAGTGTTTGGGTTAGGGTGGGTCCTTTTTGGCTGTTTGAGAAGACATTACTTGTTTCTCATTGCCATTGAAACTACTTATTTGCCACCAAAAAGCTGATTTGTGATTAAAAGGTTTAAAATTATTTTACCCTTTTTATCTGTTTAAGAGGTTTGCCTAGATTAATAAAGTAGACCTGCTCTTAAATTTCATATTTTAGTGTTTTTAATTTTTAATCTGTAATCGAATGATCTACAGTACGATTTATCTCACTAGTGGGGTTTCATCTGATGCATCTCGTGGGTAAACGCTGCGTGGAATGTTTTTAAATAATCTCACTTCAGATCATCACTGCCAATTTTCAGTACTTTGCTTAAGCAACGATATGCTAGCGCGTCTTTTAGGAACAATTTGTAATTTCTCAGTATTATTGGCTGTCAAGTACAGGGTCACTATTTGTGGCAGCAATGTCCGGCGCTATGGTCTTCATGCGCGGTACTTAACACGGTTAATTTTCGGTTTACAAGTGCGATAGTTGTAAATCCAGTATAGCTGTTTCGACTTAAGTAAAGTACCGCAGTAGGTACGGGTCTAAGAAGCTCCCTCGTTAATATATTGTTGTTGCTCTGTTCACAAATGATAAGATGCTTGATGGCAATCACGGTAGACAGTTTCGAAAGGATGTTTTTGCTTGGCTTTGCCGTCGTAAATCTCGAAGTCCTCTCTTCTATTTCCTACCGTAACCCTGGTTCCCACTATCTAGTTGGGAAATGAGGTTATAAATTATGGAATTGCTCATTTTTAAAAGCGGTTGAAAAGGAATGAGCAAGCTATTTTCGGATTTAATAGGTGTTATTTCAGCGAATATGGTTTGTGCGTTTTCTCTACGCCGGTTAAAGCAAAATTTTAGGCCGATTTTGAACTCACGAAACCGGACTATAAACCTTGGGAGTTTTGGGATTAGCATGCTACAGTTACTAAACAGAACCGACTCGTACGTTGGCACAGCGTTAAGAAACGGGACCTTTATTGCTAACGGCGTGAATATTGACCTAATATATAGTGCAGTCGAGTCAATAGGAACATTTGATTTAGTGAGATCTAATGTTCAACTACGTAGCGGACCTCAAACTTCGCGCAGATTTACAATTGCGTTCGCGAATCTTTCGTCACACAGATCGTGTGCGAGGCGCCTATTTCACACGCAAATTTCGTGCCTACCAGTTCTATCCTGCGCGGTGTTGTTCTTCGCTGCTTGCTTATGAATTTGATGTCTTAGTTGCGAACATTATGTAAAGTGTGCTTGCATTTATGCCATGATGTGCCGATAGGTGATCCTGAATTGCATTCCAATAAGGTATATTTTATTCGGTTTGAACAGTAATTTGGAGGGAAGATCTCTTCCTTTTCCTTTGGTTGGGATTGGCTACATTTGGGCTTAAACACACTTCACTGAAGTTCTTGGAAATGCTAAAAGCTTGGCTTTGGGCACATTCCTCTTACCTAGTCAAGTGCACTGAAATCTTTATAAAGGCAATTAATGCAGGCTTACTCAAGCAAGGTTTTCATAAGTAGCTTTTTCGGTGAAATATTGGTTTGAATAAATTCTGAGCCGCCTGTATTTATTTTTTGCAATCCAGACAGCCACAAGGGTTCTACCACGAAACATAAAAATAACACAATTTTGGATGTTTTTCCCCTGCCAGACTTGCTGTTTGCTGCGGTTTGCGACCTGAACCAATTATGGTCTTTGATGTTGCCACTCGACGCCAGGTGTGCCAGAAACTAGAAAAGACTGAAGACGTCTACATAACGGCTGCTTTCTTTGCTGACAGTCGAAAACTTGCTTTTGGTGGCCTCAAGGGCGGATGCTTCTATATCATTGTGAGCCGGCATTCTCTTGTGCACATTTTCAGAGGCCTGCTTGCATGCTTCGAAATCCCGCCTTCGTAATTAAGTTTTCAATATGATGTTCCTTGCGTGGAGGCATTCTTAGTTCTGAGTTTATGCTCTTGCTTCATAACAAAAAAAAGTAACATTATGCTTTGCTTTGCACCATAACTAAGCTGTAGTGGTTGCCATATTGTCGTAACTGAGATGTTAGAATGTGTTCGAACCTTTGTTATTGAAATAGTTGGAAAATGAGCTTCTTGTTCGGTCTCAAATAGCCTGTCTTCCATTCAGGACACTGAGGATGATGGAAAAGTGCTGTTTACGCATGAATATTGCCGCGTGCAGTGCATGGTTGCCATCATTCCGCCACCAACACCTACAGCTGCTATGGTGGCAGCCACCCTTGCCGCTGGATTCACCCCTGATGCCGCAATGGAGATGGATCCTGACACGTCGCTACAAAGTCCTTCAACTGCTGCTGCTGCTGCTTTAGAACAACTCTTTGCTCCCGTTGATCAATTACTCATTGTGGATCATATGTATCGCATACGAATATTCCGGTTTGGTTACACTACTTCGGGCTCTGGGAGTGACAGTGGCTCTGTTGCCGCGGCTTCTGCCGGCCGCGGTAACGTCTTGCCACAGGAAACCGATATGTGGCCTGCTACCCGCGGGGGGAGTGTGGCTCCAATTATTGTGGCTCTACAGAATGCTCTCTTTTCCTCACGGGCTGGGGGCCGAGGGAGCACTGTTGGTGTTCCTTTGACTCCTCTTCCACCACCGCCACCACCTCCGCCCGCTGGTACTCCGGGCGGGGTTAATGTGTTCCCAATGCGTCAAACTACCTCCGACTCTAATTTTGGTGTCCTCGGTGTAGGCAGGCAACAGACGCAACCTGCCAGCACTCCTGGTTCTGTAATCGGTATGGCATTATCGGTGAAACTGGTGCTACCGTTGCATTTTGTGTCCTTCCGTTCATTGGAAGCATTATTGAATGTTAACGTTTTTAATCCAGTTATACCTAAATGAAATGTATCAACAGTACTCGTGAGAAAACTGATTATTATTATTATTTATTATTATTATTATTATTTCTCAAGTGGGATGGACTTGTAGAGAAACGAAATGAGTATTTTAGGTCTTGCGGGAGATCCACGAAATCTCGGAAGCCTGGCACAGCAAGTGGTGGTTCAGATACAACCCAGTCTCACTAGCCCTGGCTTCGCTCTTCAAGCCATCAATAGGGACGGCAGCACGTCAAGCGTCTCCAGTCTTGTTGGCCCTGGACCCGTTGGCACCGGATATACCGTTGAGTCAGTTCCTCTTTCCTCGTTCCCCGCTTCTCTCGCAGCTGCCACGGTCATGACCTCTGCTCTTCCCAGCATTATGCAAAACTATTATTGGCGATCAGGCAGCATCTCGACCATTCCAATTCCTCGCGGCAATGCAAGCAGTGGTGGTAGCGGTAGTAACAGTGCTGGCGGAAACACGTCACGGACTGGGACCGCTGCTGCGTAATTCACACCTTTCGTAACCTTGTTTTTTAATGATCTGATGTTTAATACGTTGGGTTGCAATTATGCAAATTACGAACTTTTAACAAGGCGAACAACGTATTATTATCAACGAACTCGTGTCTTGGCTCCAGTAAAGTTGCTGCATGCGTAGGATTTACTACCTTGGAGAAATATGTGGTTCCTCGGTTTGTTTTCAGGCTGAGTCAGCAAGGAAGATATTAGAGGACATTAGGTGCCCATTTGAAAAGATTTGCATAGACTAGGTTTGTTGGTGCATCACGTTTCAAAAATAAAATACAAGGCTCAATTCGTTCCTCTGTTTCATCGCGGTAAATGACAACGCCATTCATTCAAACTCCTCTGGATTTGTAAAACAAAGACAATTTTTTTAATTTTGGTAAGCACCGGCCACTTTTAAGCTAAAATACCATATGAGAACTGTTCATCACTTATGCTTTTCACCAAGATGGTGGTAGTAGGCTCTTGCTTACGTTAATTGGCTCTTCATTCTTTCAAAGTGTAAAGGGCTTAGTTGTACTGCGTTAGGTACCGATGCTACTTACATTTACTGAGTACGGCTTTAGTTGCTGAAACTGTCAAGAGCTTTCTTTTGAGTTGACAACACATCCAGTACGTGAGGGGCCATTGATAGGGCAACGGAATGTCTCTGTTTTTGCATGTGTCAAGGGTAACGATGGCCTCAGGGCTTCAGGAGGCTGATTCGGACACGGCGGAGGTCTCAACGAACACGGAGGCAGCGGTGGGTACGACGCAGACCGCCTCTGCTTCCAACTCCGCCTCTGCTTCGATCTCGCAAGGTCAAGTCTACAGCCTCTTACATCAAGCTACTCTAATTAAGGAGATGCATCCTGTCCAGTCGATTGTACTTTCACCTTCATGCAAGCGTCTTCTCGTGGGTCTCAACGCAAAGGTACGTTCCTCCACTTTTACCAGCTCTTTCACATTTACAAGCCTCGGTTGAGTCAGACGTTGCTTTAATCCTATTAATGTGCTTGAATTAGTTCTTTGATTTCTTTTCCGAATTTTCTGGGCATACTTAACTTTGCCACCCCAAGTTAAAAGCGCTCGATTAGCAACGTGCACGTCATTGATCGTGGGCAATTTCTTTCACTGCTTTTCATACAAATCTAGAACAAAACGCTGATAACCGGTGGACACTGCAGACGGTTTTATGAATTTTGTTTGACGACTTTGGAAAACTGCAAGTACGATAGTTTTTTAGTCAGTTCCTTGGTTCGGAGCATGTTCGATGCCGAGTTACATACCCTCTATTCTTGGGCCCCTTTTTGCAAAATTGAATGCCCTGTTTAAACTGAAATAAGCGCCGATACACTATGATTCTGTCAATACAGCGTAATACTTTCTATTAGAGACTAACAAGATTTCTTCCACAACATCTTTACAGCTTTCGTCAATAGGCGTTGTTGTTTTAGGGAATAATCCTTTGGGATTTGGAATCTCATGGAATAATTCAACGATTCTATGGTCACCATCAGGTTCAGCAAAAACTATACTACACCTTCTGTGGTTTTAACGAGGACTTTATTGCTTGCGGAAGTGAGAGTGAGTATTTTTCTTTACTTCTCTTCACGCCTCCCTTCTCCATTTGGTGAAGACCATGTATTTTTCTATTCCTCCATTGCTAGATGGCTTCATTCACATTTGGCGCGTTGGTAGCTCCCAAGGTAGCAGGCCTATTCACTCGTCGATGGCAGCCAACAGCAACGAGACTCCCGTTACAGGAGTTCACTGGAACCCCGCCATTCCTACCATGATGGCTTCGGTCAACGATGATGGTGAAATCCGAATCTGGGGCCCTGCAAGTAATCATGATTTGACTTTGAAACCGTAGGGGATGATACGTTAACAACATGAAATGTTTGCATCCTTTTTGGCGCTCATTGGGCGCATATAGGTAACTTCCGAAATGAGTGGGACGGTTGCCATGTTTAAAGATCTACTGAGGGCTACTTATTAATAACAGACCTCCAGACTACGAAGGTAGCTGAGTGCTTTGCAACCTTCATTTATTTTTTTCAGAGTATACTACCGGCTGCGTATGATGATCGCCCATCTGTATACTACCGTAAAAGCCCACCAGTTACTTGTAACCCCTTTCCATCAATGTTTTTTTTTTGCATTTTTAAACTCACCTAGGCATGTCTTCACCATGAGGTGTTATCGACCCTTTCCTAGCCCTTTCTGTGGTCATGTTCGCACATTTACCATAAATGCCGACTGCGACAAAGGTGGGCATACAGTTTCGGCGTGATGCAGTAGTCTTTCATCGGAGTTGTGCACGATTCAAGTCAAGCCACCGCGTACCCTCTACTCTCAACATTTTCCCTCACTTCTTACTCATCACGCCGTGACCGCCATCATGAACTTCGCCTAGCATTCATACGCAAAAGCACTTTTACGCATATTAACGGCTTCTCTGTTGAACCTTTGTTTGGTTACACCTATAGACAGTCCGTTTCAACATCAACTACAAGATAACGCGCTCGCTATACGTACCCAATTCGCAGTCTCATTATCCTGGTTTTCTGGTATGCTCTCCTTCTCCCTCTCCTCCCATTTAGAGAAGACCTCGAAGACTATGAATCTGAAGGGCAATCTGTATAAGCTAGTTTGGTAGTCATTCAGTGATTAGGGCTCGCCAAGTATGGTCACATCCCTACACTGTCTCAGGCAGATTGCCTATAGAACATGGGCTTAATGGTGATGCGAATACAGTGCATCATTCTAGGGTTTATTATTCCCGAAATGGAGAGGTAATTAATGTGCCGGCGAATAATGGTCTAAATAAATAAGACAAAATTGTAAGTAGATAGGCATCTTAGTCTTCGAGATTCACTGATACTGCGTCTATGGGTTTGGCGACTTCTGCAAACAGCAGGTGGTGATTTCGAACTGTGAAATGTGAACAAAGCCTGAAAGCTAGGGCTACATTTGACTGGCGGCAAGATCAGGGAAGATGCTGGGCATCTTTGAACAAGTTTCTATCGAGGAGTGGGTGCTTGGGTCGAATTTCTTTCAAAATAGAAGTGAGTCTTAAAGTACAGGGCGTGTGGATAAAGCAGGCGTCAAAGGTGTTTCGTTCATTGATAAAATGACA